GGACCTCCTCGCTGGAGGTGGGCCCCATTGTGGTGTTGGTATCGTTTCTCCTCCCTCCGACTAGTACGCCCTACACCGAGAAACCGAAACACAAATCGGAATCCGAAGTCGAATCGAGTCGGCAAAGGAATCGATGGAACTCGATTCGTCTGGAGTCGACGGGGTCGAAATTAAGCCGTGGAGAGGGGGAAGGCCCTGGCATCCAGCGTGTCTCGAACAAAATCAAGACGGCGTCTCTACTCTTAGTTTTCGGCCTCTGGGGGTCCCCTACCAGGCCTCGGGGCCGTCACGCAACTATTTTCGGGCGGGTGCCCATGGGGGGCGACCCAAGTGGGGCGAAGAACCCGGCCCTACAAAGGCCACTCTGAGGCTCCTTTCGGGCAACTGCTGGCTCCAAAAAAGAGCCCCTTTCAGGCCGTTTGCTGCACCCCCCATGTGGGTCACCCCCCGATTGCCGCCCGCCCGATAGTGTCTCGGGGCTCTGCTGACCCGTGTCGATCCAGACCAGGGCCACTCAGGCTGTGCAGGATCCTGTAGGGTCCTGCGCCCACGCCCGGGTCAGTGCAGCCCTGACCCCTGCCCCAGCGCCACTGGGGGAATCCATGATGGGCCTGTTTTCCACCGCCACCGCCAAAAGTTGGAGTGGGAGGGGGGCCCTGCTCCTCCTCCTCCTCCTCCTCCTCCTCCTCCTCCTCCTGACCCGGCGCTCTGACCGACCCCCGCTTGCCTTGACCCCCGTCTCCCGGGCCCCGATCTTTTCTCGACGAGGGGCTGGTCCCCGGGGAAGAGGCCGAGAGGTGGGGCGCCCGCGTCTCGAACCTAACTCGAGGCGCCCCGAGGTCCGGGGGGCGGAGCGGGCGGCTCGGCGCTGCAGCACCGAGGACCATCCTTTGGGACCGCCACGACCCCCAAAAAATAGCCGCCGAATGCCGACGGAGTGGCGCGGCACTGTTATTGTTTAGAAAAAGCATGGAGTGCTGGGCGCGTAGGCCCGCCTGCAACGCCCTCCGACGAGCATCCACGTCGAGCCAAGCATGACGCGGCCGTCGCCATCGTCACCGCCAGGACCACAAGAGAATGTTACAATCATCATCGCGCTGAGGGCACGTCAGCCTGCGCTACGGCTCAGCGGCTGAGCCGATGGGGGAAAAGCGAGAGGGGGCCGACCTTCTGTCGGAAGGCGGCGCCGCTTCTCGCAAGGCCTCCGCGGCCAGGTAAGGTCGGGGGATCGCGCCGCATCGGCGATGCATCGGCGATACATTGGCGACGTCGACGTGAAGCAACTCGGGAGTCATATCGAAGCGCATGAGCGATACATCGGCGATGCGGCGCGATCCTCCGACCCCATCTACTCCAACCCCATCTAGGAGGCCTGAAATATCCCAACTTACCCCACATACCCGAAACATAATAGAACATTGTCACCCGAAATTTTTTACTATTTTTGAGCATTCCTGCTGTAGAAGGACATGCCCGACGTAAGCCTAGAATCTTGGACATCTTCTCAGCAGGCCGAAGGCCGTCCGAGCCTCCCGATAAGGCCCGCCCGCTCTCACTGCCACCCTGGGCGCGACGCCAAGGGGAGGCAGGCTGACGCACAGGCGAGGAGGAGGAGGAGGAGGAGGAGGGGGGACGAAGAGGGTGACGGGAAGAGGCGAAGAGGGGGGCGGCGGGGAGGGAAGGGGGAGGGAAGAGGAGGGGCGCGGAGGAGGGGGAGGGGCTGGAGACGATGCAGGGGAGGCAGGGGAAGCAGGGGGGGGGGAGGATGAAAGGGACCCGAAAGGGGTGGGGGAGAGGGCGAAGGGGGGCAAGATAACTGGCGCGGGCAAGGACATCTTCGACGCAGTGATTTCGTCACAACGGGGACCCCCAACGGTCTAGACCCCTTCGCCAGGACAGGTCCCAGAGCCCAGCGATGGCCCCTGGAGGCCGAAACATACCGAAGCCTCCCATCGTGGTTTTCTTTTGCCAGAATAACCCTGTGCCTGTGATAATCACACCATGGGGATAGTAAGATTCGGGGTCCTGGGAGGATCCTCAATTTTCCTGGAGATATCGATGCTGAGTTGTGTGAATAGGGAATGAATGATGGCCAGTATATGTGGCTGGATGGAAAATACGACGGTATAGTGATGCACTTGCCACTCTTGGGGGGCCTGCCTGTCGGAGGAGGAGGATGAGGCGATTTCAGGTAAAAAAATACAGCTTCAGGCCTTTCGAATCCCACATGTAAAGCCAAACGGTTTCTTGGTGGCGTCTACTCGTCGCGAAGCAGTACTCGTGGCTGCTGTCTGGGGGTGATAATCAACCACGGCGATAAACGAATTCAGCTGGGACGCGTTCGGCGATAACGGCGATAAACAACGTTTTGGCGGCTTCGGCCAATCCAACTTCTTTCGTTTCCGGAATGCCACGTGTGACCACCGCGATATCGCAGGCACAGCGCTGAGGCGCCACGTGGGGCTACGAACCGTGCGAGGGGTGTGCCAGAATTGACCAAGGAAAAGCACAGTCCCAATCCCAAAATCGTGGATTCACCGAGGACTCGAACATCGGCCAAAAGTTTCGGGGTATGGTCTGCGCTCCCTGGTAAAACCCTGCCCCAAAATCTCTCTCCCCGAAGTCTCGAGGACCCTGCGTCTCTTTTGGGCCCTCGCGTGTTCAGGACTGGGCGGCTGTTTCGAGCTGGCGAAGAATGGGGGCCTACGAGAGGGCGATGATGACTGGAGGCGGTCCGAGCCCAACCCCCAAGCCCACCACAGTACCTTTCATGTGTTCAGAACTTCTTGAAGGGGAACTGGGACACACAAATAAATACACACAAATAAAAAGATCCCCCATATGTTCCCATATTTTCTGGGTTTCTGTCTTCCCTCCCACTTCCCATAGTTTCCCATATTTTCTGGGAATCGACGAGTAATTGTGTCTGTGTGTGTTTTCCCCTCCTGACTTCTCTCCGGAGCCTGTGGCCCGACGGCCGTGGTCAGCTGCACGTGCCCCAAGGAAAGGCCCCCGGCAACCTGCGAGACATGCCACCGCCGAGGGCCAGGAACCAAACGCTATTGTGAACCATGTTTCGCAAGTTGCTTAACACTCTCAGCCAAATCCTTGTCAACATGCTAAAGCAATCCTGCATTGTGGGCATTGGTTAAGCGCGCTTCTGGGCCAAAACAAAAACGCTGTTGTGAACCAGCAGCGCGCTGAACCAACGCCCACAATACTTCTTTTTTTTTTATAAAAAAACTACCGCGCACAAAAATGCCTGGGACGTAGATCGAATTGCGCCATCGCGCGCGCGCATCGGCGCCGTTGATAAACGCAGAAAGGCGTTTACAGACCACGCTAAACCTGTGGTATAAAACGAAGAATTTCTAAACATAAATGTAAATGCAGAAACGTCGCGATTCGTGATCGTCGTCGTAGGGGCGTGTCGACTAAGTCCACAAGCAGTCTGGAAAAAATGATAAACAAAAACCATCCTGGTGGGTGTGGGGGTGGGTTGCTCTCTCTAGA